GTAAGTTTTCTTTGCGCTATCCATCAGTCACAGTCTTCCGGGAGTGCATCATTTCAGCAACATTCAGTTCAAGCAAACCCTGAATCGGTTTCGACATACGGGGTCTCCACTGGTGGAGTCGAGCGTGCTTGCTTTAATCAATGCTGGTGAACTGTTAGATTTTAAAGGCAAGAACTCCCTCTTTATGCAATGGTTCCCAGCTCGACACGAAATTATATAATACAGAATTATTATTTTGAGTTACGTATTAACATTGAGCGATTTTTTTTAAATCTTTACATATTTAAACCAAGACTTTATTGTTTTAAGCTTGGCATTACGCAGGCTCAAAGTGGTCTGTTGACTTCACTCAGTGCTGTGAATGTTTTTGATGTCTGGAGGCAGATGGTGTAATCTAAAACATGTACTCATTTAATAAATCCATGTTTGCTTGGTATCTAATGCGATACGCAGCAAGAATGTGCATCTCCTCTCGCCTGCCCAGGCGAGGCTTAAAATAGGGAATCCCCCATCTCAGAAAGACATGCATGGAGCCTTACATCTTTGGGAAAAGTCATTGCCACGGAGGAGGGGGGAGGTGACCCGCGGTGTCTCCGTCAATGTTAACCTCTCCCCGGCACCCGGTCTGCAGCAGCAGCGAGCTGATTAACACTGATGATGTTATGCACGGGTGAAGAGAAGGGCTACACGCCGAGTGACCTGCTTATGAGAGATGACAGGGGCGCCGTGGTGGCGAGAGGGGCGCCGCCGTGGCATGAGTTAACTGCCTCACCTGGTACACAGGAGATCGTGGTTTGATCCCGACCCTGACGCCTGAACTACAGTACTGAGACTCAGTGTGGTAATGTACTCGAATGCGCACCTTTGTGGCGAAATGCTAACTACCTCTCCTGGTATACAGGAGGGTGTAGGTTCGATCCCGACCCTGATGCCTCCTGTATATTTCCAGTTTTCAGGTCTCTCTCCCCATGGTCGCATTAATTTTTCTCCGGGTCCTCCGGTTTTTCCTTCCACATTTAGAAACACCCACGTCGAGTATTTGTCTGCTGCTCTACATTTCCACGTGATAAGCCACTTCGTTGAGCTATCATTTGCGGTCAGGTCGCTTCTGAAAACGAGTTATATAGCTCAGTGGGCCTTACCTGGTAAAATAATAAAAATCTTTACAGTTTAAATTTTAGACACCGCTAGGTTGTACTACTGTGGGGTAATCGCACGGTGTGGGGTGGTCTTGGGCCACGCGGCCCCATGCGCACAGCCTCCTCGCTCCGCTCATTCATCAGTGCCGCGTTTTACACGGCCACAGAAAAGCTGGCCGCTTTGCCTGCCCTGAGAACGCGACGAATGCGGCTTCATCATTTACACGGTGGCAGTCTTGCCAGGGACAAGAGAGTGTCCGAGCGTGCCCTGTGTGTCTCGGGGCCAACCTTCAAATCCGGAGCAACTGCTGGGCCGCGGAAGAGCACCCGCTGTCCAGCAGCCAAGTAGTTTCTCGGTGTCCATGCCGAGGTTCGTTAACTGGCTGTATTTACCCGCTGGTGCACGCCATACGTACTGTATGCATTATTAGTCATCGGGTGAGATATAATAGTAGTACAATTCCGAGTGTATTAACATCGGGTGATTTTGGTGCGTATTCATGATTGAACCGAGAATATGGCGTCCTCTTTTTCATAGTACGCAGGAACAAAGTGGCCCGTGACTTCAGTCACTGCTGCAAAATGTTTTGATGTCTGGAGGCAGATATTGTAAGTGTAGAGGGCCCATACCAACCTTCCCACCAAAAGACAGCGGACTCACACTCTGTGAGCGGGTGAGTGAACGCCCACTCAGTAAATCAAATTGGATTTTCCACGGCCAACTTCGGCCTCTGTTGAGTCGTAAACAACATTTTCAACGGGGAATAAAACCTGGTTTGTGTTTGTGCCCACAAGGGGAAAGAACTGGCAAACGCGTTGAAAGCCACGAAATGTGGTGGTGATGCATATGATCTACAATGGAGCTTGTGATTTGCTATTAAAAATAATCAGTCATGTGAAAAGAAAGCTGTATTAAATTATAACAAATCAATTGTCCGTTTAAAAAATAGTTTTTCGTCTTTCATCCCATTGACTTTCCAGACTCACGTCGACCAGCAGAATTACTTTAAGCGGGCAAACTCTGCACTTGTTTTTGCCCTTCTTGACTTCTTATGCAGAACGTGTTGTTTTTTGTTACCATCGTTTGGGAGGCGGGTGGTATACATAAATTCCCTTTAACAAGATACGAAGACACGTACACGTGTAAATGTACGTGCAAAAAACACTATCAAGCATCACCCGCTCGCCTATTAGATGTTGCAATTATAACCTTTCGCATTAACGGCTGCCACGGCTGCACGCCACTGATGTATATTTAATTACGAGCCAGTAATCGCAAATCAAAACTCACTCTAGGAGAAGAGGAGGTGCATATGGGTGGGGGGGGCGTCGGTGAAGGGGAACTTAATGGGAATTTTACATTCGCAAAATCCAATTACGTGAGTTAACCTGTGCGCAGTAATTGATGTTTTACTGTATACACACGGAGCAGCCCCAAATGTTATAAATTGAAAATGGCTAACGGCTACCTCACATTAATTAAGATCCCTTGGTACTGTTGGCAGCCACGAGGCGGATACCATAGCAGTAACGGAGCCAAACTTTGCAAAGAGGCAAATCTCCCGCCACCAATTTCAATGAATATTGTTGGATCATCTAATTTCCTACGCTGTGCCAAAGCGTGCAAAGCAGGTATCAAGCCGTGCACATTTCGATACGATATACAGAGATGAAGGGTCTATGGACCTTACGTAATTTACCGAATCCATTGCGTACATATGTGAGCCCGTGGGATGGAATGCATTGTATTGCTGCTGTTTTGAAGGATTCTTTTTATATCTGGTAGCTACTGGTGGCAAAAGGTCCCTTTATTTTTATCCCCTGCTGTTTGTCATGTTCAAAAGCATGTATTCGATGATAATAGAGGGCATTATATATGAAAAAAATCAGTTTCTTTCCCAGTTTACAAGTGTATGTGCCGGTAGATATTTATATTTGTAGAAATGCTGAATTCATATCTCCATTGACTTGACAAAGAAATAAATTATGCTAAAAATCCTCCGGCCACTGCAGGTTCAGTGGATTCTGTCGGTGCGTTTTACCGAAATGTACGCTCTGTGCATGAGCCTGGCAGGCAGGTATATGCATCAGAGCACATTGCTGCAGTTGTATTTTTTCGCTGATGGTAACTTAAACATATGGATGGTCGTGATTAGGTGACTGATGTAAATGATGTAAATGATAACAATGTTCTGGAGGAGTTGGAGAGCTGAAATTGGGCATCAAATATAGTCGAGTGAATCGAATCTATGCCTAAGAGAGGACATTGATGGCACAACGGTTAAACACACCGCGCTATGAACTGAGCAATTGGAGTTAAATTCTCAGCCATGGCTAACATCAGTGGGGAGCGACATCTGGATCAGTGCTGCTCCCGCACCCAGTACCAATCTTCACCGACCAGAGTGATGAAGTATGGTTAAACAATTTCTAATCAGCAGTGGCTGACAAAGGGCTGTAAATAATGTGTTTATTTATGGTAATAACTAGAAAAATAAAATCTCAATCTTAAAATTTGGACTCTAAATAATGATTGCCTGGAGATTCATAGATTTTACTCATAGCGTAGGGTCTTACGTGAAGTTCTCAATATCTTTAAATCTCACGGTAAATACATATAAAGCAGTCAATGATTTAAAAATATGTGAGCCCGAATATCAGTGAACCTAGTAATTGACCTCGTGTGGAGTGTGACACTAATGCCAGTAGAAAGTACGGAGAACCGGCTTCTGGTCAATGGTAAAGGTACATCCTTGAAAAGCCTTACTCATGGCACTGCTGGTGGAAAGGTCTCCCACCCGCAAGCCCCTCTAAGTGGATAATTTCGCCTACTCTCTCACGCTCGCCAGATGTGTTTAAGTAAGTGGGAGTGCCCACGCTTTCCTCCATCACACACAACTGCCGATCGACCAAGTGCACCGACTTGTAATATTATTAATAAATGCCCAAGGAGTATGCTTTAAGGAGATGTGCAGTAATTGCATAGTGATTGTGAAATAGTTTAGTATGCAGGCTGGAATGTTTCTGGATGGTTGATCTTTGCCAATACACTTTATTAAACATAGTCCAGCAGCGACTACTCTAGTGTAATCCTGGTGTGAAAAGTATTTAAGCACAATAATTGAGAATGGAATTATCAGGCATATAGACAGCTGCAAATCATGTAATTTGTGCTTAATAGTATTACAAGTGTTCATGTGTTCTCAAAATGATAATAGTATTTCTTTGATATATTTTGTTGATGTTTAATGTGCAATTAATTTTGGTTCTAAAACACAGAGGTCCCCATAGATGCTGTGTATGATATTATTAGGAACCAGACTTTGCCCGCTTGTTGGATTTAGTGTCACACTCCACAGGAGGCAAATTACTTGGTTCACTGATCCGGATCATACATGTTAAGTGGCTTACATGAGACTTAAAGCAATGTAGCACTTGAGGCTGACCCAGTCACATTATAGAAACCAATTAGGCACAGGTCATAATATTGGGGACCAAAATAAAAAAAAATTTTGAATTATCCTAGTTATATGCATAAACGCGAGTATATTTTTTGACTGAATTGCAGCTTTATAGCATTTTCAGAACATCATATCAGTCACTCTTTTCAGTTGTGGTAATCTGTTCGTCTGAGATAGGCATATCTGCTCATACATATCAGCTGCACAACAAAGCTTTTTGCGCTGATGCTACCTCTAACACTGCAGCTTGTCGTTTTTCCAATATTTTCTTTCTTGAAGAAGAACAGCAGCTGCTGTGACAAGATTGATGTAAGAACCTTGCGCAGTTTCAGCCGTTAAAGCACAACGCGACTCGACGGCACGTTTAACAAAATAGGAGAGAAAAACCTTTTTACCAACAATGGAGAGCCTGGCTGAGCTGCAGAACCCACTTCTTCCGGTCAACGGGTTCGACTTCTACAAGAAAAACGGCTTCGCGTACAACGAGCGGCCCCGACACTCGAACGGACTCATCTCAATCTACCTGAACTCTTGCGGCACCGACGACAACTCCACCTGCGTGTACCAGCAGCTGCTGGACCCCGGTGCACTCCTGACGCAGCAGCAGCAGCAGCTGCAGCAGCACGGCAGCAGCGGCGGTGAGAAGCGGCGACGACACCTCAGCTCGGAGTCATCGCACGTGGCCCGCCTGTCGCCCAGCGGTGCCGCCCCCGCCGCCGTCGTCGACGCGAACGAGGACGGCGGCTGCTCGCAGCACGGGGAGCCCCCGACGGAGAGCCTGCACTGCGAGACCACCTTCACCGAGGCGGCGGCGGCGGTGGCGGTGGCCGGCGGCAGGGACAGCCTGAGCGGGAGCGCGAGTGACAGCGACAGCAGCTGCGGCGGCGGTGGCGGCAGCGGCAGCAGGATGGACTCCCCCACGAGGGAGCCATCGGTGCGGCCGGAGAGCCGCGGCACATCCATACCGTGTCCTACGAGGTGGACGAGGAGGGCGACTACCAAGATCTGCAGGTGTGTGGCTGGGGTCGTGATTGCACATGGGCAAAAGGGGATGGAATTTTAGTTTGGCTTGTTTGTTCGAACAATTGTACCCAGATTATTTAGTGACACCCTGTTGGCAGTGGGGAATAAGCACAAATAGCAAACCAAAAATATGGCAACACATTCATGAGTAAAACTGCTTAAGAGTAAAAAAAATAGGCGACATACCCACGGCTTTGTTCGTGTGTGAGCGGAAGGGCATGGTAGGCTCTTCAAGTGTCATTAGATGTCGTGCGTAAAAACACAAATTAGCATGACACTGCGGAGGATGTTACACGCACTAAAATATTTTTTTTCATGTAACAAGCATTGCATTTTGATGCTGCACTCATGAGGACATGGGATATTACGCTACAGAACAATATATTTATTTGATATTGCTACGAGAAGCGTGTTAATATCTGATTTACACCGCACCGGTACCAACCCCGATGCTCATAGATTCTACAAATGAAAATGCCAATTAATGAAAAGCGAAGATTTTTTTTTTCCATGAGCATCTTGATATTGCTTCAAACCAGAGGTAAAACGTCTTTTTGTCTCCTACATGGATGTAGCTCCAAGAGAACAAATTGGTGACCCACATTAACATGACAATGATGAAATGATACATTTATTATGTCCTTTTTTGTAACTTCTGCAGCTATTTCTGTGCTAATATGAATGGCAACCGTTATAATTTTTCACTGAGGAAGGATCAAAGCAACAATTCACTAATGGCCATCACACCATCCCTTTTATAAAGCTTGCTCATTGGACTATGTAACATGCTTAGAAAATGTGATGAAATAGATTTTAAAACACATGAAGCACAATTTGTACTATTTCACAAAACACAATCTTTCATTCCCTGTAATGTTTCAAATCAATCGCGCAATATACATTTTCGAGTGGCTGCATGTGATTAATCCCAGCATACATCCAAGGGATACTAATTGGGAGTATAATTGGATAACAATATTATTTAGCGGGACTTAGCTCGGTATATTTCTGCTGAAGTCACACCTTTTTACTCCTGAAATCTATTTAAAGCAAAATATCCTGTGCACTTGGTCCCAATACCCATATTTCCCCCTGTGGTTTGCTAAACAGAGTGACCTTGAGCTCAGCATATCTGGCATTTTGCACACAAAGATGGACAAGGAATGAAGCCGTGAATGTCTGCACAAAGTGGTCACTAAATAGAAGTGTGGATGCACCCCCACGTCTTTGAACACTGGCCAGCGTGGAGGAGTAGACCAAATACCCTCCACAGGGCCTCTCTTGAGCTACCTCTAGCGGAGGGCGTTTTGCCAGCTGTGGCACGAGCAGCGAGCAGGCAATTGCAGGGCTGCGCCTTCATCTTTATCTTGTTTATCGCAGGTGCACTCAGCCCTCGCCCTTAATGTCCCTTGTGCCTTACTGAACAGAGTGACTTTGAGGCTCGGGTTCTGGCATTTTAAAGACATTGTTGACAATAATGAAATGATGACTAAATCCCCAAAAATTGGGTAAAATGCTTAATTGCATGCGCTGCTGTATAAGCCCACTTTCAATGCTGCTCATGCAGGAAATTTACTACGGAATGCAACATTTTTGTAAGGGGTGTGAAATATCTGAAGATTTGTTGCAGCATCGTGAATGGTGTCCAACTCATTTGCTATTCACATTGTCACAAGATAAATAAGCATTTAGCCATTTTTAAAAATATAATTTTGTGCGGAGCTTTAAAGAGTCACTTTCAATTGTACAGCGTCTCAAACCAATGGGTTTTACACAGCGCTTAATTTCTCGCTGAATATTTCCATATCGTTGGTGGACTGCAGGAGGCATGCAATTAGTAGCCACAGCCATAGCGAGAGGGATACTGGATGTGGTGTGCTGGGTGTAAAAAATATATTTTTTAATGACCAAACCAGACAAAACCAGGCTGAACTGAAGTCTTGGTTCCATGTCTTCCACTGCAAACAAAGGCAATTCAAATTTGAGTTTCAAAGTACATTGTAATTTGTGCATTTAAATATCATGGAACAATATGTTAATGAGCTTTACGATAATACATCTGGGAGGTAATGACAGGCTAAAACGTGTAATTATTGCTATGCAATCGGCAAGAAAAGTAAAAAAAATTCCCATGGCAGCCGATGTATCAACCACCATTTAAAATGTTGCCCGTGCTAAAAACCCAATCCAGCCAAGTGCACAGTCTGCCATATCACGCAGTTACTTAATGCTATTTTTAAATTCTACCCGAGCGATTAGCTGCGAGGTTAAAATATAAAAGAAACCACGGTCTGCTACGCACGTTTTCCTGGTTGTGCTGCATGGCTCTCCGACGCGTATTCATGTTGTGCCGCGTGTCTTGTCCGGCACGGCAGTGCATAACTCCCCTTTGCAACGCACAAAGTGGAGTTTACTCCACCTGTTTATGCTCCTGGATCAAATAGCATCGTGCAGGGAAAACGCTTCATTCGTAAGGTGACTGGCCTCGCCGTTTGCTCCGTTTTCTCTGCCCAGAGCGATTACTCAAGCGATACGGAGAGCGAGGACACCTTTTTGTCGTTACCACCTCGAGACCACCTGGGCCTCAGTGTGTTCTCCATGCTCTGCTGCTTCTGGCCTCTTGGAATTGCTGCCTTCTGCCTCTCGCAGCAGGTGAGTCTCGGCAGTGCCGCCTGACCAACGAATGCCCTTTCGTGTGTTTTCACTCTCACTGCTTTCCCCATTGTTGTGCAGCTATTTGTTTTGCGAAGGTGAAGGGTGCGTAAACATTTTTTTCTCCCATTTGAAGGATTTCTTGTTGAACATCTTTCGTAGCCAACTGTGGTTATCGGAGGTGGGGGAAGGACAACTAAACACAAAAATCAGTTCTAAATAAGTGAGTTTTCAATCTAGATTTAAAAGTGCCTAGGTCCAGTTGCTTCCTAAAATAGGAAGGAAGAACGTTCCAGACGGCCGCAGAAGTGCATCTGAAGTGCGCGATGCGGTGACCATCTTTGTTCGGATCATTAACATGTTAGGATAATTGACGTGTCCACGTTCCTGGCCGTAGCAGTCCACACATGAAGCACATTCGCATCTGAGAAAAGACTCAATTATTCATGTGTCAACCTGGAATCTCGCCTCAAAATGTGCCACGTGTCGAGACGTCGGTACAATTTGTGATGTCATGTGCGGTATCAAATCCAGGTCTTCGCTGCGTGCTTGTGGACACTTCATAAATGTGTGACAAGAACCTTCCTAACAGTAAACTATTCAGTATCAGTGATTAAAGTCGACATCACGATAGCTAAATAAAACGACGTTTCCTTTAAAAAAGACGGGAACCTCGTTCTGGAAATCATGTACGTAACGCGCCATTACGTAAGCAACGTGAAACATAACAAACCAATTCTGAAAAATATATGTATTTATATTATTTCTGAATAGAAGCACACCTTTTAAAAGCACAACACTGATTTAAGCTATGGCTACAGGGTTTGGTGGTACATGTTGTTTATGTCGTTTATTGTGAAATTTCGGTCACAGTTCCTATGATCACTGTTACATTGCTTATGGCTTTATTTTGGTGATTTCGAAAAGTTTTTTGGTTTGGCCATGTTTGTTTGTTGTAGTACGGAGTTAGAATGATGGCTTTAATCTAAGTTGTCTTGTGGTTGTTGTTGTTGTTTGACTTGCATCCCACTGGGATTTTTGCACAGCGTTGGTGTACGGTGTTTTTTCTGGAAGACTTTGCAGTTTTTTCCTGGATTTTTCTGTTTGCGCATAGTCACTTTAAGATGTTTTCTTGTTCATGTTTTTGTTTTTTTTGTTGCGGTTGCACCCGATTCAAGAGCCGAATGGCTCACAGGGCTATACCAAATAACACATTCTTACATAACACTTGTAGGGAGAAGGCAAATAGAAACTGTTGGTACAAGCACACTAATGGTTGTGGCTTTTCTGCATCCAGCTTCTCACGAAGAGCATTTAACACCTCACGTCAAGCACATTCGGTGGCAAAAATAACATGTAGGTCAAAGACATTTTTTTTTTGCTATCACGTTTTTAAATTGCATGAAAAATGTTGTTCGCATAAACAAAAACATACAATATGTAGCAGGGAATAGGTCAGAGAAATAAAAACAGGAAAAAAGACGAGAAAACGAAACAGTAGGAAAGGAATTAAGAATATGACTGCAAACAACCTCAGACTAAGATTTCTTTAACGTTGAAAACGTGAGTCTTTAAAAAGCGTGTCCCAGGAGCTCCAGAGACGCCTTCCATTTCATCGCTGATCTCCATTTAAGGATCAAGATGTCACCATATGGCCAAAAGGTGTTGATGTGACCACACTTTATCAACACTCTCTACCCTCTGCCAGATCCCGCAACTGCCGCACAGTAGACGCACAACCTCCAACATCTGCCCAAACGGTATCCCACTATCTGGCCTTTGGTCTTCCCATTGGCCACAGGACTCATGGAGACCCTTCAATGGCTATCTCTGCAATCGGCCCTCCCCCTTTCTGCACACATTTCTTACCCCGTGCAACAGTTTTTTTCATATTCATATCTCCAACAATTACCAACAATGTTCTCTGCTGGACTTTTGAATTGCTAAGCCTGCCTTGCCACAAATAAATTCCTCACATCCATCTGAGACACCTGTATTCAAATGCCAACAACTCATTTTCGAGTTGCTTAGGATCCAGATGTCCAACTGATGCGTTATTACAAAAGCACTTCCACCTAAATATATTTGTCCTTTCATTCAGACGTATCTCTCGTCTCTCTTCTCTTCCAAAGCGGTTTCCATTGCCCATCAAAACACCAGGCCTGCTCAAGCAATGGGGATTTCCTCTCCCCGACTGTTACGTGCATTTAGTAGGATCGTAGTGGTGTTAAAAATGACCGTGTGTATAATTGTATCATTGAGTGTGGTTGCACAGCAAGTCTAGTGTAGGTGACAGCTTCGAAATTAAGGCTCGGATGCAGTGCTCCAGATGAGGTTTTGTAGTCTCTTGAGTAATTCACCCGCCAGTGTTGACACCATGAGTAGAATGTATGCACCGGGGTCAAATGCAACATATAACCTTGTAGTCACAAGTAATTTTGATAAATACTGTATTTAACTGCTAACTTATGCATGGATTACATACAGCCTTACATTTTAACTGCAATGTTACCCTAAACTATTGTACGTTACTTTGATTTACATACTCAGGTAAGTTTTCCAATGGATACATTTCAAAAATCGTAATTATTATTATTTTATTCCCAACGTAACGGAAACTGCTTTAGCGATACACACTTCTGTACATCCCGTTCATGGGCCCCGATGATCACGTGACCTCTCCTTCACCATGCATGCAGTAAAATTGCCATGAACATTACAAATGCATTTAATGTGCATTCCACAAATAATTCACATTTTTAACTCATAAAACACCCAGGTATGCGGATTATCTGGAGCATTGATCGGACCACAGCATGGAGTTGTGTGGTGGACAAATTACATTTATTCGGCTAATTTTAAATTATCCACTTAAGAGGGGCTTTCTAGAGCTCACTCGGGTGGAGACCTTTCCACCAGCAGTGACACGAGTTATGATTGACCAAAACCGATTCTGCGTCTTTTCTACTGGCTTTAATGTCACACTCCACACGAGGTCAATTACTAGGTTCACTGATATTCGGGCTCACATATTTTTAAATCATTGACTGCTTTATATGTATTTACCGTGAGATTTAAAGATATTGAGAACTTCACGCAAGATCCTACGCTATGAGTAAAATCTATGAATCTCCAAGCCATAATTATTTAGGGTACAAATTTTAAGATGAGATTTTATTTTTCTAGTTATTACCATAAATAAACACATTATTTACAGCCCTTTGTCATCCACTGCTGATTGGAAATTGCTTAACCATACTTCATCACTCTGGTCGGTGAAGATTGGTGCCGAGTGCGGGAGCAGCACTGATCCATATGTCGCTCCCCACTGATGTTAGCCATGGCTGAGAATTTTAACTCCAATTGCTCGGTTCATAGCGCGGTGTGTTTAGCCGCTGCGCCATAAATGTCCTCTCTTTGGCATAGACTCGATTCACTCGACTATATTTGATGCCCAATTTCAGCTCTCCAGCTCCTCCAGAACATTGTTATCATTTACATCAGTCACCTAATCAAGACCATCCATATGTATAAGTTACCATCAGCGAAAAATAAAACTGCAGCGATGTGCTCGGATGCATATACCTGCTTGCCAGGCTCATGCACAGAGCGTACATTTGGAAAAACTCACCGACATAATCCACTGAACCTCCAGTGGCCGGAGGATTTTTTCCATCATTTATTTATTTGTCAAGTCAATGGAGATATGAATTCAATATTGCTACAAATATAAATATACACCGGCACATACACTTTTAAACGGGGAAAGAAACAGATTATTTTATTATTATAGTGCCCTCTATTCTCAGCTAATACATGCTTTTGAACATGACAAACAGCAGCGGATAAAAATAAAGACACCTTTTCCCACCAGTGGCTCCCATATATATCAAGAATCCTTCAAAACAGCAGCAAGTCTCGCCTAATCTTATACATATCCACGATGCTAGAGAATCAAAACACAAAGTGAGCTGTGTGAAACGCACCGATGTTTTGTGAGCTTTGTCCCGTGGAAGCCAGCTGCGAGGGTCACACTCGATAGTTGCTGCAGACGTAGATAGAGAAGCAAGGGTCGTGTTACTTACGTGTTTATTAGTCTCCACGCCAAATTGGCCTCTCATACCTTCCAATGTCTCCTTTGTACGTGTGCTACTAGCTCTAAGTAGTCCCTCTCATTATTACTGGATGCAGAAGCTCACTGGCAATGTGTGGTGCTTTGTCAAAGATCATTTCAGGACTCGGTAGAATATTTCGGTCCTAAAGAATATTGATCAGCGATGATCATGCAGTGTGGGGGACATTTAAAAACATGAAAAGTATTTTTAAGGGAATGCGATTTTAAAACACAACCACGTGATCATTCGTTCAGATACATTATTTGAAAAGATAGTGTTACGACAATGACTGACTGATGGATTCATTTCCGGTCTTAAATAGTGCAGGACGACGTCATCATTGTTGAACCCCATCAGGTTTCGAGATCAGAGGGGGAGGTGGGGGGTATTGTAATTATACAATAGATTAGTAATCAGTTCATCAGTATGTGATTCCTCTATAAGGAAATGTAATATGTATTGTGTATTACTTAATAATACGCTTCCAGGTTGCGCTAAGTCTGTAGCTATCAGAGCGGTTAAAATTATTGGTATTTCTCGCAATTTCGATGGATTCTCTAATTAGTCTTGGCCAGTCATAATTAGTTTTGTTATCAAAATCAATTGGGTGTCCTTGTTGGCAAGCATGTTCCGCCACTGCCGACAGTTGTGTTGAGAGAATTTAATGTTCCTTTGGTGTTCTTTTAGTGTTACGCTAATGTTACGTCCCGTCTGTCCAATATAGCATTTACCGCATAAGCAACTAATCCGATATACGCCTTCTGTTTTTAACTTATGTAATTAATCTTTAGTACAAGACACTAGTTTTTATTTTGTATACTGTACCAAATCTTACTTTACTGTTTTGCTTTTGCAAAGCACGGGCTAATTTGTCAGTTACTCCTGAGATATATGGTATTTTAAGTGAAGACCCGGCCTACCGTGTAGCTGCCTGACATTCTAACGTCTCCGCCCCTACTGAAGGCCACGGCCCACCTTTAATACTCC